GTGTGTGTGGGTATGTGGTTGTGTGCATGTGTGTGACTGTGTGTGGAGGTGTATGACTGTGTGGGTGTGTGGTTGTGTGCGTGTGTGACTGTGTAGGTGGGTGTGTGGTTGTATGCGTGTGTGACTGGAGGTGTGTGTGGGTGGGTGTGTGGTTGTGTGCGTATGTGACTGTGTGCGGGTGTGTGATTGTGTGCGTGTGTGTGGGTGTGTGGTTGTGTGCATATGTATGACTCTGTGTGCAGGTGTGTGACTGTGCGGGTGTGTGGTTGCATGTGTGTGACTCTGTGTGCAGATGTGTGACCGTGCAGGTGTGTGGCTGCGTGTGTGTAACTGTGTGCAAGTGTGTGACCGTGTGTGTGCGTGTGTGCAGGTGTGTGACTGTGTGTGGGGGTGTGTGGTTGTGTGTGTGACTGTGTGTATGTGTGTGACTGGGTGTGTGGTTGTGTGCGTGTATGTGACTCTGTATGCAGGTGTGTGACCGTGCGTGTGTGCACACAGGTGTGGAGGTGTATGTGTGTGCGCGCGCATGCAGGAGCCTGAGCCTGCGCTCCAGCGGGTGGGGGATGAATGATGGTGGCATTTCAGGGAACGGAGCTTTCACTCAATGACTCTTCAAGCAGCGGGAGGGGGTGGCGGCTTCACAACAGTCGGACAGGTTTGTGCAGCGTGTAGGAAAAGCCTTCATTTCCTACTGACAGTGGTGACATGGGTGGTGACAGGTGGAGCTGGCAGCAGCGCTGAAGTCCTGGGGTGGGAGGTGCTGGGGGAAGGATCTGGTGATGGGGGAAGGGGGGTAATCCTGGGAATGCAGGCCGGACCCATCTCCCAGTGCCCCACAACTGAGGTTTGCTGTGCTTCCACCATGAAGGGACCTCAGAGATCTGCCTCTTGCGGGAGATCTGGGAAGACTTCCTGGAGGAGGCAAACTGCCTCCAAAGAGCTGCAGGGCTGATTGAGCATGGACTGTGGGGCGTGGAGCTGTTTGGTGCAGGAGATGCTCCTCCCGCTTTCAGAGGCTGCTCTGGAAACAGGGGCTGACACGGGCCACGGGCCAGGAGGATGGGCCTGAAGGGCAGGAGCCACCTGGCACAGTGCTGGGCACACAGCCCAACGTCTGTGCTCCCTTCACACCCTGAGCCCCTGCCCACATCTGTCACCAGCGCCATTTACAGAGGAGGAGACAAGGGCCACAGAAGCAACCCCAGGCCATACGTTGGCCGGATGTAGCTGGAGATCCGACCGCTGTCTTTACTTGCCCTGTCCGGGCAGCTGTGTGCAGGTGGCTGGAGAATGCTGTGGCCCAGGCCCTGACCCCAGCTGGCCTCCAGCACCATCCCTCACTCTTTCCCCTTTCTCTGCAGGATGGTTGAGTACTCCCTGGACCTTCAGAACATCAACCTGTCGGCCATCCGCACTGTACGCGTCCTGAGGCCCCTCAAAGCCATCAACCGCGTGCCCAGTGAGTCAGCCCCACCCTGTCCACACCTTCCTGGCTGATCCATCCCTGGCCAACCCATCCCTGGCCTGCCTAGCCAGTGCCCATCCCCCACCCTGCTTCATTCACTAGGAGAAGACTGACCAGGGCCTGGGTGGGCGCAGGGATCCTGCGGTGTCTGGACAGATGTGCCCTGCTCCCGTGGAGCTCATAGGCCTGAAGATACTGGCAGGTGGCCCTGATGCCTCTGAGTCCCAGGAGAGCCTGGAGAGCATGCTGGGGAGTCTGGCTTTTCAGGAACAAAGGGTTTATGGGGCAGTGGTCTTCACAGGATGTCAAGGCGAGTACCCATAGGAAAAGAAGCTGCTTAGTTTGAAGGAGGACATCATACAGCATTTCACTGGGGCAATGAAACCTGACTCCCTCACTTGTGCTGACTGACTTAGAACTTGAGCTCTGTCACTCACCCACCACAGATCCATGTACCTACTCACCCATATGCCTGGTCACTTGTTCATCCATCCACCTGTCCATGTATCCACCTGTCCATCCATCCATCCACCCACCCACTCATCCGTCTACCTACCCATCTGTCCATCCATCTGTCCACCCATCCACATATCCATCCATCCATCCATCCATCCATCCATCCATCCATCCATCCATCCAT